CATATTTTGAAAATATAAAGTATAAGACATATTATGTAGAAAATGTGATTTGGCTAAAGAGGAAAAGTGATGTTTATGGATCGGATCGAGCATTTACTACCCTATTTTTTATTTGAAATGTTTATTGAATGAATTGTAAAAGGTATTCTCATGGATGGGATGAGTTGAGTTGCCAAAAATTATATGCTTTGTTCAGTAAATCGATTTGTTGTATTGATTATGGTTTTGGTTTTGAGGATTGTTATGGATTGGTGTTGATGCTTTGTGAATCCATTAATGGATTTGTGGATACGCATACTTGTTAGGATATCCTTATGGCCAAGCCACCGTCTATAATAATAGGAGACCTCGACAAGGAGGAAATCTTGGTCGCATTGTCACAAGGTTATGATCATGATTTGATATTGAGTAATAGATTTGTAAATGAATGGACCATTGACATGTGATTTGAGATTGGCCGGTAGAATAGACCATTAGCATGTAATTTTGATGAAATTGATCAATGGACTTGACCATTAATGTTTGAATTGAGATGATTTAAATGAGTATTTCTAATTTATATAAAACTTCATAGAAATGAAAAGATACATAATTAATTTGATATATATTAAAGAGTTGTATTATAAGTTTCTAGTATTGCTCTATACTTATATATATGCATAGTGACTGCTCGATTTGCTTAAAAGAGATATTTACTGCTCACTAAGTTGTGGTTGCTCATCATTCTCTTTCCCAAATCTTTTTAGGTCTCTCGATCAGCGGCCAATAAAGCGAGAGCGATATCAACGAGGATTTTTTGGAGTTAGTATTTTGGTTGTATTTGAGGCCGCGTCCTTTGTGTGGAAGGATGACCATGTCACTTCTCTATTTTGGTAGGTTTCGGAGTATGACATTAAGAGTCCTTGTATTATTTAGTACTCAATTCTACTTCGTGGAAAATGTATATATATTAAGTCTTACCAAAACTAGCAAAATTGTGATATAATGTTAGGTTAGGTGAAAAGGAACAAAGCATGGCAACCAAAAAAAGAAAACTTGAATAAATCTGTTAATGAGGGCCTAATAACCTATCAATAGAACTAGAGGTAAAAAAAAAAACAAATATCAATAGAACTCAACCTTGCAAGACCATTTCGTGGAGTAATCAAAATAATTTCTTGGATTTTTTTCCCATTTACTAATTCTAGATTTTTTAGACAAACTATCTTCAAATTCTACTTACGATAATCGAATGGAAATGCAAATTGCTCGTTTTTACATACGAAAACGTAAAGATGTTTTTAATATTTAGTGAATAATGTGATTACCAAAAGCGAAAAATCGCTAGAAATTTGACCATGAAAATAATAAAGTGGAGATTGTTAAAAATATACTATAAATGCAGTGTCGATTCATTATTTTAACAACTTAAACTTTTTCAATTACAGTTTGTCAAACATGACACAAGTCATGAGTTCAAATCATGAAATGCCCCTCATCTTTATTATGCCAATTCTATTTTCCCAATCATCAATATATTGTCTCGTCGATATACTTAAAATAAATTAACTTATTCAGAGATAGAAACAGGGGATGCTGACTACAGGACTCCTAAAAATTGTGTCGGGTTGGGCAATTCGATACTAAAACTCGTTTTCGCGCATTTAAGTCATAGAACTCGAATACTCTGTGCATCTTAGGATTTCTATTAAGTTTAGGAAACCATAAAAACCCCAAATTTTTGCCTTATGTGATACATTTATCCCGAACTTTTTACATGATACCAAAACTGTAACTTTGCCTTTCATGACACATTTTTAGCCTTATATTTAGCCCATGGCATGCATTTTTTTTTCGCTTTTCTTTTTTTTTTTTTTCATTTCCGGCGATGGCAGGCTCGCACGCTTCAAGGCGAGGTCGCTCTCTGTTCTGGACTGGCGAGGGGGGCTCACGGCTGGCTTAAGCGAGGTTCGCCCTCTGAAGAAGGCGCTTCGCCCGATGTCTCGGGGCGAGGTCGATTCGCCGGCTGGCCGAAGCGAGGGCGCCTCGCCGGCTCTGGCGGACTTCCTGGCGAGCTTCCTGGCGAGGTCCGCTGTCGCTTGGGCGAGCGAGGGTCGCCCTCGCCGAGCTGCGGGCAGGGCCGCCCTTCGCCGACGCCCGGCGAGGGTCGACCTCGGCCAGATCTGGGCGAGGCCGCCCTCGCTACGCTGTGCGAGGGCGATTCGATCGACGCCCGAGTGGCGAGGTTCTGCTCGCCGGGCGAGCGAGGGCGGCCTCTGCTGGACTGCCGGCGCATGCAGGCCCCCTCGCTCGAAAGGAAAAAGAAAAAGCAAAAAAGACGAAAATGCCCATGGACTAAATACATTGGGGTAAATATGTCACAAAAAGCAAAGTTCGGAGTTTTTGGTGTTACAAAAAAAAGTTCGGGATAAATATGTCACAGATGGCAAAATTTAGGGTTTTTGATGGTTTTTTCCCTTAAGTTTATTCTTTTCGTGCGTTCAAGTCCTAACGGAACGGCTAAAAAGTCAAGCAGAGACAAGTTCCAGGGCTGAATCGCATCGAAAAAAAGGTTGAGAACTAAGGGGTCCCAACCGGCACAAGTTTCAAACTTGGTACTTTTATCCCATAAAAAATCAAACTCTTTCCTTTTTTTTTAATATTTAAGGCCAAATCTCTACAGCATCTCTGACTACACACATCTTTTATTTATAAAACGTATCACAAACATCAAAATGTACGGAGGAGACACTCGAACAAGCTGTCCTAAGAGGTCGTTACTTGCTATATGCAGCTGAGGACGACTCGTTATTACCATCGTCAGGAGTCAAACACGAAAGCTTAAAATAAAACTTTGAAAATCAAAAGAAATAAAAAAAAAGGAAGGAATGGAGTAAAAACAAAGAGAAAAAAAAGTTTAACGGGAGAAAGATGGAAGGCGGAGGGCTGGCGGCGGCCGATGACCGCCTCGGCCTTCCCCAGGGCCGGACTGCGATCGGGCGGCCCTCGCTAGCCGGTTGGTCAAGCAAACCACGACAAGGGCCGTGCAACGTTCGATGGTCTTGGCGAGAGTCGGATGCGGGTGGCGGTGGTTGCCCTTGTCTCTCTTCTTTACTTCATTTTTGTTTGTTTTGCAATTATATATATTTTAGGATTGTTTTCTCGGTTTTCTAAAAATTTATGTTTATTTTCTGGAAATTTTTTGAGTCGTAATATCAAACTATGAAAAAAAATAACACTAAAGTAATAATAGGCCTCCTCTAGCAGCATGTGGTAAGTTAATGGCAATCTATAAAACCTTATCAATAAAAAGTAGATTTTACTAAAACGATATAATTTTCGTTCTCTCTTTGATATATTTTAAAGCTCAGATATTTTTCATTACAAGTAAAAAGTCCCGAAACTTTATATTTGATCTGAATTGCTTCGTTTTTTTTCAAAGTAATTTGTTATACTTACCACTAGATTCTCACAAATTATGATATCGGAAGGAGAGAGTAAAAAAAAGGTATTTCAAAAACAAGTAAAAAAAAACAACCTACATAGCAAAAAGTATCTACCGAATGCGACATATGTGCTAAATCGTATTCATATTGCTAGATTTGATGCGACCCACAATTCTCAATAGCCTACTTTTCATAACATTAATAGAAAAGTTTTGGTTTTTTGACAGAATTTCCAATTTCACGTGTGTTCTCCATAAAATAACTTCGTTCCAATCGAAATGTCTATAGTTTGCTCTATATATATATTTCTTAAGAAAAAACATTGTACATTTATAAGAGGGCGGCCCAAGTGGGACCATCCCATATTGACACGTGGCAATGTAATTGAAAGACTTTGTGGAGGGTATAACGGGCAATGGAGAACTTACGGGGCAAGGTCGTCTTTTCACTCGCCCCCAACCACTCTTTCCCTCTCCGCTTTATATTCTGCTTCTCTTTGCCCTTTTTTTTTAAAAATTGCTCATTAAGGAAGTTCTTAATGAAACTTCTTAACAAACTTAATTCACTTCACTCGATCTTGTTGCCTAATTCATATTTATGGAAACTTATGCTTTGGCTTCTTAAATTTAAATATACGACAGAGGAAATGTATTTGGGTAGGACCATTGTACAAAGTTGGTGAAAGAGTTTTTGTAACATGGTAGCACTCATGCTACTTTTGCTTTTGAGATGGCAAGGAAAAAGATTGCCTTAAGGTGCAAGAAAAGGTAAAATAGAGAGAAATCATCCATGCCTGCTACTATTGAGAAAATTCCCGCTTCATTATCCCAACATGACAAAGCTCGATCAAAATAGCAACTTTCCAATCGCCATCTAACATAAACTGAAAATCGACGATTATCACTATTATCTATCAATAAATAAGGGGGAGAGGATCGTCGCGGGTCACTCATAAAGCGTGCATAAAAAGGGAAATTTACGATAAAAAAAGAAGTGATACTCACCACAAACCGTTGGCTTTTCGTAAATCGGCAACAAAAATCGAGATTTTAACATAGGGATATCATTTAATGATCGGGATTGAGACGAGCGACGCGATAATTGCATCTCCGGCGCTCTATCGTGTAAACCGGTATCTCTATCGGCATCAGAAGACAGAGTAAGAAAGTAATCACACACACAATCGCGAGCCGCCCCGGCTTCTAAGATCAATCCCAAAAAGAAGAAAATCTATAGGAGCAATTAATTTTCTTCTCAAAAAAAGCCTCCCAAAAAGCAATCTCTTTTTTGGACCGTGAGAGGTGGGGAAAAAAAAAAAAGAAGGAGAAGGAAAACCCAACCAAGAGGGGTTCCCCAAAATTGAGAAATGAACCCATTCTCTCAACCCCGCTCCCTCCCTCCCTCTCTCATCTCCCTACAAAAACTGCCTTGTAGTTTTTGACCACCTCACTCTCTCTCCATCTCTCCCTCACAGTTTCTCTCTCCTCTGTAAAACTCTCTCCTTTTTTCCCCCTCTTCCCACACACACCCCCACACACCAAAAACAGTGAAGAAAAAACACGCACCGCCCCCCTCCCCTCCCATTTCCTCTCCTCCTCCTCCTCCCCTCTCTCTCTCTTTCTCTCTCTAGACGCGTGTGTGTGCAGCTCCTCCTTCCTCCCTCCCTCATGACCGCCACCGATTGAAACCCTAGCTCGCCCCCTCCCGGTCCTCCTGCGGCCTCCGCTCCCCTCCCAGGTAAACCCTCGCCCCGCCCCCTCCCTCGAGCTAGCCCTAATCGGGGCCCCTCCCCCCGCCGCCGCCGTCTCCGATTCCGATTGCCGGCGCCCCTTTCCCCCGGGTTTTCCTTTGGTGATTGTGGCCCGGAATTTGCCGATCTGCTCTTCTTGTCGTTTGCTGTTGTTTTTTGAGACCTCCCTTTTTTTTCGCCGGTTGGGGCGGGCGGGCGCAGGGGACAGGGATCGACCCGAACCGACGCGGCCTCTGTGTGGGGGAGATCCTTCCAGTGCGGGATATATGTCCTTCAATCAACCCAGGTACCAGAAGAGCGAGGCGGCGCAAGATCGTAGAGGCGGCGCAAGATCCGCGAGCTTCAGCCAGCAGCGGGCCTCCTCGGGCGGCTACAGTAAGGGCGGCGGTGCCCCCGCCCCTTCCCCTTCCCTCCCCTCCAATCGAAGGTAAAACAAAACCCACCACCACAAAAAAAAAAAAAAAAAAAACGAGTTTTTTTGGGGGAATCCGCGGCCCCCCCGCCGCCCGGATTCCGATTCCGTTTCGGTCGGAAAGGTTGGATTTTGATTGCTGGGTTTCGTTTGTTTTGTTGACGATTTGCGGTGGTCTTTGTGTGCGGTTGTGTTTTGGCGTGTCGCAGTTACAAGAAGACTAATAATGTGCAAGGAGGCCAATCTAGGGTAAGCGTGCGGCCTGCGAATATCTCCTCGGAGCCCCCCGCGGGTGCCCCTCCCACCCAGCATAATCTGCAAAACGGTGTCCATGTGCAGCCCCAGCCCCAATCGCAGGGTAATGACGTCGTCGGCGGAATAAATTTCGCGACTTTCCTTCGGTGTGTGTCGTGTCTCGGTTGCTTTTGATCGAGTGTGATTGCGAGAGGAAGTATATATATTCATGTTCCCTCTTTGCTGTTTATGGCTGATTTTGTTGTTCTATTTTCCTCTGGTGCATTTGCAGGACGATCTGATGGTGGACATACAAGCGCCACTGCCAGGCCTGCTGAAACACCTCCAGCCTCCAATAGAGGCATCCGAGCTGTTCCGAAAGCTCCAACTTCTCAACCACCCGCCGTGAGTTCTGAAATGCCGCCTCCTTCGACTCCTCAAAAGGGTATGCAGTTATGCCTTTTGCTGGCTAATGCAAACTTTAGCTGATATCCTACTTTTGCTATCTGCGAGATATGAAATGTATTTATCTGCTGTTTAATTGATTCTTCCATTTCTCGTGGAATACTTATCGAGAAGACGGCCAGCTGGCCAGTTTGTTTAATTGCTATCTTTTACTGTTTACAAGGACTTGGCTAATATTCAGAATTGTCTTTTATCTTGGCGTAGCTCCTGGAGATGCCTCTAAACCATTCTCTTTCCAGTTTGGCACTTTAAGTCCTGGTCTCATGAATGGAATGCAGGTAATCTACCTTTTTGTATGCCATTTGACTTCTTTAATTTTTTTGTCTGATGGTGCTGATTTCTCTAATGCAACTTTGCCTGTAGATTCCTGCCAGAACCAGCTCCGCTCCACCAAATTTAGATGAGCAAAAACGTGATCAGGTGCGTCCTTTTCTTTTTTTTTTTCCCTCTATTCTGGTTCTTTACTTGTGAAGATTGGATTTAGTGCACCTACACCAACGTGCATGTGCGCATGAATGCAAGGGATATGATTACTTTGCTGAGACAATGAAAGGATTGGCATGCATATTGTTGAATTTTTTCTTGATGTCATTTGAGCTTGTCGTCTTAATACCAACAGGCTCGCCATGATGCTATTAAAAGTGGTCCACCAGTGCCAGTTCCTCCTGCTCCTAAGTATCCATTACCAAAGCAAGATTTAGGTGCAACTGACCAGTCTAATACTGGGGACAGCCTTACTGTTCCGAAGGGCAAGAAGGATCAAGTCCCTCCCATTCCCCCCTCTGCACAATCACAGAAACCTCCAGCTCACCTCATGCCTGCAATTTCCATGCAAATGCCTTTTAACCAGCCACAGGTTCCTATTCCGTTCAATGGCCCCAATACTTCGATTCAGTCTCAAGGAATGGCATCCGCTTCTCTTCAATTGCCAATACAAATGCCTATGCTACCTGTGGGAAATGCTCCTCCTTCAATGCAGCAGCAGATGTTTGTCGCAGGTCTGCAGTCCCATATGATTCAACCTCAGGGCATCATGCATCAGGGTCAGGGCATGAGTTTTGGGGCTCAGATTAATACCCAATTCTCCCTCCAGTTGGGAACTTTGGGAATGGGTATGAGTCCATATTCGCAACAACAAGGAGCGAAATTTGGAGGTCCTCGCAAGACTTCTGTCAAAATAACTCACCCAGAAACACATCAAGAGGTGAGGCTTGATAAACGAACAGAGGGGTTTTCTGATGGAGGGCCATCAATCCGGTCTCATCCAAACGTACCTCCTCAAGCGCAGCATGTATCATCGTACCCATCAAACCATCCAGTCAGCTATTATACAAACAGTTACAGTCCCGGCCCTCTATTCTTCCCTGCCCAAAGTTCTCTTCCCCTACCTGGTACTCAGATAACCCCCACCTCTCAGGCACCAAGATTTAATCCTCCTGTCAACCAAGGGGCTCAAAGAATGACATTAATGAATTCCCAAGATAATTCGCAGCTTCCTGAGAGGACTGGTATCTCTATCCGAGCAGCTGTGGAGCCACCCAAGCAGGATCAAATGCAAAATTCCCATGCTCCTCCTTCAGCTCTTGCGCAGGGGACATCTAAGCCCAGAATTGGTTCTGATGGTGAAAATATTACTGATTTATCTTCTGCAAGTGTCTTAACTGCTTTTGAAAAGGTTGAATCACCTAAAGCTGTCAAGATTTCTGGGAATTCAGCATCTAGAGATTCTGAGGTTCCCAGAGGCCCTTTATCGAAGGAACCTGGAAGTGAATTAGGGGCATTGCCAGGGCCTAATAAACAACATGTAGGTTTGACTGGTGCTTCTGGGGAACGGTCTGTAACCAGTTCTTCAACTGCCAATCGCTCTTCCGCCGAAGCAGCTTCGGCTAATGTTGCTGGAAGGAGAATGGAGAACCTTAGCAGGTCCAATTCTATGAAGAATCATGAGCAAGGAAAGAAAGGGGATGACCCACATCCAATCATGGTACGATGTACCAACAGTTCTCAGACTAACTCTTGTGCAACCATAACCATAACTGCATTTAAAATTCTTCTAGGTCCATATTGTATTGTATTCTTTAATTGCCGATTAGCATGTGATATTTTTTAGCGTTCTTGAACAGGTTGCTGAAGAAGGAAACTCAATCTCAGCCGTAGCTTTACGGGAATCTACTCAGGGTGGGGTGCTTGAGAATTTGGAAGCTAAGACAACTAACACCTACCCATCAGGAATTTGTGAAGATGTTCTAGAGTCTGTAAGTGAATCGTTTTCGACAACGGATGCTCTTTCTCCCGATAACGTGGAACTTGAGCACCATGGTGCTGGGGAAGGCATTGGCTCTGTGTCATCTGAAATTTCTTCTGGTGTACTGGTTCTTGATAATTCAGAGAGTTCCCAACAATCAATTCAAGATGAGTCTGCCGAGAAAAATGAAATTTTGGCTAATGCGGATGCTGACAGAGGAGAACTAGATAGTTCGGGGCCTGTTGAACAGTCTAAAGAGTCTGATGATAGTTCTGTGATTTCTTCTGTCTCAGTCTCTTTAGAACATTCTGATATCATCAAAGAGGGTGACCTGGATTCTGTCCCATTGGTCGAAGCTTCTGGGAAGGAGATTCCAACTAGCACAGCTGAGAGGACCAGCCTGGACGAAGAGAGATATCATCGAGATATTGATAAGACGATGGGAAATTTGGAGATGCCTACATCCTCATCTGTGGATTCTGAAATTGGAGAAGCTACCCCTCATGATGCTGTTCCTTTAGCTAGTGTTCATGGTGACAATTCTTATGCAGATGCCTCTGTAAATGGGATGGATGAGGTGATTGACTCTTCTTCTGTTTCAATGTCCGACTCTTTCAAAGCAGGTGCTGGGGATGATGGTGATGCTACAGAAAGTGTCGGAGGCAGCTTGAAATCAGTTCAGATGGCAGTTCCCAAAGATATGCCTGCTCCAGAAATAAGTAGGTCTTCAAGTAATATATTTAAAGGAAAGAAAAAGAGGAAAGAATTTCTCCAGAAAGCTGATGCTGCTGGGGCAACTCTCGATCTGTATTTGGCTTATAAAGGTCCAGAGGAAAAGAAAGAAGCAGTTAAGTCCTCCAGAGGCGCAGAGATTGCTTCTGAGGACATTCATGCAAACCAAGCAGCAGCTGAGACATCTCCAAAAGAAGCTGTGGTGAGCGATGATGTTCAGCAAGTTAAAGCCGAGATAGATGACTGGGAAGATGCTGCCGATGTCTCGTCACCAGCATTGGAACCTTCTACTAGCGGGCAACAGGTTGATATTTTTGTGCCAAGTGACGACAATAGAAACGGGTTTGTCGCAAGAAAATATTCTAGAGATTTTCTCCTGAAATTTGCGCAGAGATGTACTAATCTTCCCGGGAAGTTTGAAGTGACACATGACATAGCCGAGGCATTCAATCCTTCTGTTAATGTTTCTCGTTTTGTTGACCGTGATTCTCACCCCAGTCCTGGGAGAACGACAGACAGGCAAAGTGGGGGTGCTCGGCTAGATCGCCGCGGAAGTGGTTTGGTTGATGACGACAAGTGGAGTAAACTGGGTCCTTTTGGTCCAGGGCGCGATCTGCGTCTTGATGTGGGCCCTGGGCCTAACCCAGGTCTCCGACCTGGCCAAGGAGGTAATTACGGTGTTTTGAGGAATCCTCGTGTACAGACTCCTGTCCAATATGCAGGAGGGATACTATCTGGTCCAGTGCAGTCCCCGGGATTTCAGGGAGGGATGCAGAGAAATAATTCTGATGCTGACAGGTGGCAGCGTGCTACTAGCTTCCCGCAGAAGGGTCTGATACCTTCTCCTCAGACTCCATTACAGATGATGCACAGGGCTGAGAAGAAGTATGAAGTAGGTAAAGTTACGGATGAGGAACAGGCTAAGCAGAGGCAGTTGAAAGCTATCTTAAACAAGTTGACTCCTCAGAATTTTGAGAAATTGTTTGAGAAAGTGAAAGCAGTTAACATTGACAATGCAACCACTCTTAACAGTCTTATCTCTCAGATTTTTGATAAGGCTTTGATGGAGCCCACATTTTGTGAAATGTATGCCAACTTATGTTGTCATCTCGCTGTAGAGTTGCCTCATTTCAATGAAGATAATGATAAGATTACTTTTAAGAGGGTGCTTTTGAACAAGTGCCAGGAAGAATTTGAGAGAGGGGAAAGAGAGGAGGAGGAAGCCAATAAAGCTGAAGAGGAGGGCGAGATCAAACAGTCTGAAGAAGAAAGAGAGGAGAAGAGGATTAAGGCCCGAAGAAGAATGCTGGGAAACATCAGATTAATTGGGGAGTTGTATAAGAAGAAAATGTTAACTGAGAAAATAATGCATTCATGCATAATGAAACTGTTGGGGGGTCAACATGAGACTCCTGAGGAGGAGGACATTGAGGCGTTGTGCAAATTAATGAGTACTATTGGGGAGATGATTGACCATGTAAAAGCAAAGGGCACCATGGATGCATATTTTGAGAGGATGTCGGTTTTGTCAAATAACATGAATCTCTCCTCAAGGGTTAGGTTCATGTTAAAAGATTCAATTGATTTAAGGAAAAATAAATGGCAGCAAAGGAGGAAGGTTGAAGGGCCAAAGAAGATTGATGAAGTTCATAGAGATGCTGCTCAAGAACGACACCAGGTTAGCAGAAATGCTCGTGGTCCAGGGATCAATCCTTCAAGAAGAGGACAGCCAGTGGACTTTTCTTCTAGGGGCTCTAGTATGTTATCCTCTCCAAATGCCCAGGCCAGTGGTTTCCGTGGGTTGCAGTCACAGGTCCGTGGGCAGGGCAGTCAGGATGTTCGGTTTGAAGAAAGACAGCCTCATGAGCCCAGGCCATTGGCAGTTCCTTTGCCTCAAAGGTTAAGTGATGATTCTCATTCAATTACTCTAGGACCTCAGGGTGGGCTTGCCAGGGGCATGTCATTCAGAGGGCCGTCATCAGTGTCAAGCACTTCAGTAGCTGATATGTCCTCCGGCTTGTTGGACTCTCGAAGAATAGCAGACGGTTCAAATGGATTTAGCTCTGTAGAGAAGACAAGCTACAGCTCAAGGGAAACTGTGACGAGTCATATGGCAGATAGGCTTTCAGGCTCTGGTGCTTATGACCAATCTGGTGTGCATCGTAATAGGCCTGGTAGCCGAGAAGGTTTTGATAGATCTGGTGGAAATTCTCCTTCACTTCGAGTACAGGGAACAGGTTCCTCTCAGGATATGTCTTCAGAGAAAGTATGGTCAGAAGAGAGACTGAGAGTTATGTCCATTGCAGCAATTAAAGAATTCTATAGGTACATATTATTAACTTCTCTTTTGTATATTATTTTCAGGATTCATCGTTTTGGAGGTTCAACTGTCACTGGGATGTCCTTCTAATGACTACATTTTAAGACTTCTTATGTTAGGCCCAAATAAGCGGCTAAGAGAGGGGGGGGCGGGCGGGGGCGGTCATTGAATTGGGAAATGTTTTACAACACTTTCAACACTTTATGTTAATCATTTCCTTCCCTCTTGATGCTTGTAGACTCTTATATTGGCAATTTGGACTGCTCGGTGCCGGATGTTCGAAATCTTGTTTCTGTGGCCAGTGGTCTCTAGTTTGGTTTTTTATGGTTTGCTGCCTTAGTTTAGTGTGATCTAAGAAGAGATTCTGTAATCTTGTTATCGTAGTATGTTAAGTCAGGTCTTTCATGCATAGTTTCTTCTTGTTTCTCGTGGATTAACTTGACTGAAAATGGACACTGCGTTTACCCCTGCTTTCATCCTAGACTTGTGCCTCCAGTATCCAGGCATGACAAACTTCTGCTTTTGGTTAGGTTAAGCCACTCACCACACTGTCCATACAACAATATCGTTGGTTAGGGTGCCCATTGGTACTTATTTGTTATGTTTTGGGTAGCCCTCTGCTTGTTCTGACCTTTTTAGACAAGAGATACTTTTATGCTCCAGCAGATTTGCGGCAACTTCAGTTGCATTGTTAATTTAAGTAGGCAATTGTTCGTATTCACTGAAGCTGGTAGCTTTCTAGATCATTTCTGAAAACGGTTGGGGGAAAAAGAGGAGAGAAGAATCTCTAATTAATATTGTGTTTGATGTAATCTTGGTATGCAAGATGCATCGAGTACCTCTTTATAGTGCTCACGCATTGCTTCAGTATTTTCTTGCGTAAGGGCATATTGCATTTGAAAGCTGATAAAGATATCTGGTGCAATTCTTTATTAGGTTGTTTTGGACCATATGCTAATAATTTTGTTTCTACTTTCAGTGCCAAAGATGAGAAGGAAATTAGTTTATGCATCAAGGACTTGAATTCTCCAAGCTTCTATCCTTCCATGATCTCTCTCTGGGTTACACACTCCTTTGAAAGGAAAGACTTGGAAAGGGATCTCCTGGCCAAGCTTCTAATCAACCTTACTAGGTCTCAAGAATGCATGTTAAGTCCGGTGGACCTCATCAAAGGGTACGATGTTATGTTTAGGTTTTTCATTTCGATGATTAATGGATGAAACGTACATATGGTCCTTGCTCACTGCCTTTACGACTGTCCCAGGTTCGAGTCTGTGCTCACTACTTTGGAGGATACAGTCAACGATGCCCCGAAAGCAGCCGAGTTTCTCGGCCGTATTTTTGGCAAAGTTATTGCTGAAGACGTGATTCCATTGAGGGAGATTGGGCGTTTGATACACGTAGGCGGAGAAGAACCTGGACAGCTTGTAGAAGCTGGGCTTGCGGCGGACGTCCTTGGAAGCATTCTGGAGGTGATCAAATCTGAGAAAGGTGACACTGTTTTCAACGAGATTCTGTCTAGCTCCAACTTGCGGTTGGAGGATTTTCGGCCGCCGGGACGTACAAGCTCAAGGATTTTAGACAAGTTCTTTTAGATGATTAAGATGGCACTCAGTGTATCTCTCGTAGTTGCTATTTAATATAGAAAGTTTTTTCTTATGGGTGGACGATAATCTCTTTTGGTTGTCCTTGTCCACGCCATGGAATAGTTTTATTCTTTGAAAGATCAAATGCAAAATCCAGAGGTTCAATGGAGCATTAACCTCGAGCTAAGTGTTTGTTTTCATACTAGGGAGAATACATATGGTCAATATAATATAGAAATTAGTAATCCGGTCTCGTATCAGTTGAGGTTTGTCTTCTAATTATATGATTGCCAGGAAAAAGATTAGGGCTGGGATTGAATGAATGCTTTTTTGAATTTTTCTTGTGAGATGGTTGTGAGTTGTGATCGCTTGGAGTCCAAGGAAACTGTTTACTTGAAGATTTTACCTCTTTGTAGTTATGATGTTGCTTTAGAAGGAGATAGTGCTTTTTCATCCCTTCTTTCTGAAGGATGGTGGCTTTATGTCTGTCGAGAGCCGTTTGAGGTGGACTCTGTCTATATTCTTCTTCAAGCAGCTTTAGAAGATTTTTGGTCTCATGAATAATCTGATCTTCTTTGGAACGGGGGAGCTCGGGAGGTACCATAATTTTCCCCTTGAATATCGACCTCGGAGCCCCGATCACGTTGTGGAGGTACTGTAGAATACTCCGTGAGCTCCATGAATCGGTTAAATCCGGTTTTTCTGGCTGGCGTAGGTAGAGCCCGTATCCTCCGATTTTCTAAATTTCACGTCGTTAGGGTCCTCGAGGGTTGAGTTTCCCATGTAATTCTTGTTGGGTGCAGCTGAACATGATGGAAGTTAGAATACCAAGTGGGGGATTTTTGATTAGACAAACGGGGAAAACGACCGAAAACCATACGGTCGCATCGCATGTCGGCGTTTCCCTGGCCGAAATCTGAAATCTCGAACATTGCTTTTTAAATCCCCCGGCATTGCTTCGCCCCCTCCTGCGCCTTGCAGTTGTTTTCTTTTTAAAATGTTCAAAACTGTCTTGTCTGGTTATTTTAGTTGTTGAATGTCGAACTCTGAAAAAACAGGGGAGAAAATATTCGGTGCTTGTCAATTGCTGACGTGACTTGCTTTTCTTTATTCATGTCCAATAGTTTGTTGACACGTGTTTGCTAAGTTGGATTAGAAAGTTTAAAATCTGGTTTCTCTTCATCCTCTTCCCACCCACTTAATTTTTCTTCGGATTTGACCTTCACCCCATGGCCATCGACACCGCGTTCAGGCGTCTTTGCGGCCGGCTCTTGAGATATAGCCGTCCATGGCCGCCGCCACCGGACGAGCCGTCATTGCTCACAGCCATGGCTCAAGATCTGGAGCTCCCGGCCATGAGTTCCAAATTTGGAAGCCATGGCCGGAAGCACGACGGCTCCATATCTAAAAGTTCGGCTGAGCCCAAATATGAAGGCTACTCTTGAAGCCCCGCGTCGCTTGCTTCAAACAATGCAACTTGAAAATAGAAAAACAGATAAAAGGAGAAAGTGAGAATGAATCGTGAAGCTTTTCTTCTTCGTCTTCTCTGTGGACAGGAAAGGCTCGTCCATGACATCTGAAGGTCAAGACAGCAACAGGTGAAGTTGAGATCCCGACGACTAACTCCACACCTGAAGGTCGAGATCCGATGGCGAATTTCCAGATGCCTTAAAATCTGGACCGACTGCCCGCCGCGATCATCATCACCACTGTCGAGCTTCCAGATTTGAGCAACCTTCCCTTCAAATTTGGCCATACCGGCTCGTCCATGGCAACGTCTCGTCCATGGCCGCGAGCGATGGTAGTCGACTTCGAGATTTGCAACTCCATTGCCATCACTCCCGATTTGGTCCGCGACAACAAAGTTAAGGAAAGGAATGCCGTCCACAAAGACGACGGAAAGGGTCGGACGCTCGATAGTGGTCATATTAGACGCGGCACCAACAACTCCGCCGGTGGTGACAGTGGAGGGAGGCGGGGAGGTTGGGCTCAAGGTGGCTAGAGCCTGGAGGTGGAGGAGGACGTGTAGACGGAGAAAGAAAAATGAGGCGAATTGAGATTTTCTATTTAGTTTAACTAAATTCATATCAATATATGCACGTTAATTTATAATTGGTTCAAAGCAAAAAAATGCACGCCACGGTAGCTATTGGTCTTACAAACCACTGAATATTTTCTTGGTGAGAAAAAGGGCTAGTTAACAACTTCAAGTTCAGAATTTAGTTAAACAATCATGCCGCAAACTTAATAAAAGTGTAACTAAGTTTAACTGTAAGAAGACCTATGTTATGAAGTCTCAGTAATGGAAACGACAATGGCGAGTTGGGGAGGTTGCAAACAAGTAAAGGAACGATCATCCTGGAGTTCGAGTCCACAGCAATTAGACCAGTTCAATCGAGAGGTGTTAGGCTTACAGCAGGAAAAACGAAAATCGAGGAGTCCGGCAAAAGCCGAGCCGACCTTTAGGAGAGACTTCAGGCCTCCATGTCCAAGACCAACTTCTGCTCATAGTCATCAGACAAGATCAATTATTACATATGTACTCTCAAGCGTACGCACGCCCACTGCAGGCTTAGGTATAATATATCCCTACAGCACAGCACAAGTTATTAAAAGGATCTTGGAGACCCACTAAAGCACGAACGCTAGGATCTTTCAGACTATGAATTCCTCTTCGGCTAGGCTGAGCTTTTCAATTTGAGATGATCTCCAAGCCCACGCATTCGCACTTCATGCCAGGACTGGCCTAGAGGCTGCCAAGGCCTCGAACAGGTGTACTCCCATACTCCACAGTAGTCCTTGTACTCGGGCCGAGCTTTTCAGTATGTTAGCTCAAATCATATTCTATAGAAGGCAGCACAAAGTTCACATGCTCAAGTAATCACTACAATTAACTTACCAACAAGAACATATATTGCTTCAGCAATACAATCAATCAATCCGACGAGCAGGCTAGAAATAACATTTCACAAGTAGAAACCCATGCCCTCTCAGTCCCTCTGTATTGTACTTACTGCGTTTTAACTGTACTGAACCTATGGCAACGAAAATACAAAGATGGCAAACAATGTACTTGCTGACTTCATAGGGAGAAAGGTTTTGTGTACACGTCAAACGTCTGGCAGGCAGTTAATTGCGGTTCCTGTTAAAAGAACATTCAGAAATCAGTCCAGAAATCTGAAATCAGTACGCAGTTTCTTATGAAAATCTCGTGCCTTGTTCCAGCTATGAGATTCCCATGCCACTTTCTTTGACGATTTCCACCTGAACTACCCCATCTCATACCTTTTCATGCCAGGTATCACCGCGCAAAAAGTGAATCTATCTTATTTATGTGACGCCAAAAACTCTCTGGCACTAGAACTAGAGCGAGACTATCCAACATCGCTTTTCACCACCTAAGCGAAATAAAACACAGTTACCAATAAGAATACATGCGTTCCGTGCCATACATCCTGTGAAGGTCGTTGAATATCTAGTGTGCCTTTAGTTTTTCTATTTAAAAGAACTATATACCAAAAGGGCACTGTTTTCTTGAGAAAAGGATGGACACTATGGGGAAAGCCACCTGACTGTCTCTAGTACTGACTGTCTTAGAATGTGTATCATGCAGTAGTCAACGCAACCATAGGAAGTACCTGTCTTAGCCCGCCAACAAGACTACCACCAGTCACAAGCATGGTAATCAAAGATGTCACAACACCACCACCAACACCAACACCACCATCATTTCCTGTATTTCGTATAGTGGCACGCATGGAACTTAGTATGCTACCATATGTAGATCCATGTCCACGCTCAATCGCTTGGATGAAGCAGAAGGTCATAGCTCCAGTTGATGTAACCTGTGACAAAGCCTGTATGGAAAGAGGTATGAAGTTAAATAAATTCCTTTATTGCCTTCTGAAGCTGGAAACTGCAATTATGATGCTCATAGATATTGTGCATACTTCTTGTAAATACTTACAGATGTGTCCGCTGAAGTTTGGTCATCATCGCAGCCACTGAATGAAATGACTTCTCCACCATTTGTTCCCTTGTAAATACCAGATCGAGGGCGATGGTCCTCCCATATGTAACGGCCACTCCTTTAACCACGAAAGAAAATCGCATTAAGGATGTAGATGAGAACTGGCTTCACAGCTTAAATTAGATGGCCAGAACTAGTATATTAAATGTGGTATAGAATTCATATTGACGGTCCGACAATGACTCGTAATTTATGTGGAGAAATCGACATGCTTTCGGTCTAGCAATGTCAAAACCTCAATCATTCTTTTTTACGGATAGAAAGATGCCATAACCTTGGCAATACCTAGCTCTTTCTCAAGGCACTAAGAAAACAGTAATAATGAATAGGAAAACTGACCTGTCCATTCGGCAAAGGTATGGTAAATCAAGTACAGTGCCACTATGGCAAGCGTCTATTATCGCATGAAGCTTAACACCATGAGGAAGAGGTCTCACAATTGTTGCATTAATCTCATCATCGACAATCATACCCTGGGTTTCAAAGTCAAGGGGACACAATGTTTCATCATAACCATCAACTTCATCACCATTATAGTTTCTTTGCCGCGAACCATGACCAGAGTAATGGAATAAAAGGGAATCTCCAGGTTGACAGCCTTGTACTAGCCAATATAATGCCATCCTCATGTTTTGTTTGGTTGGACGTCTGTAAGGGTCGGTTTCTTCTTCTGCAATACAAGTTTCAAATGATAACTGCGCTGAGGACTTTCCCTTTGTATAAGGTGCATGCAGTGATGATAAAAACTTGCAAGCGGACATCCAGAGCCGGGTTCCTTATAGAACTAGAGTCTAGATTACAGCATGTTCAAGAAAATGGCACAAAATCTAAACCACAGTCAAGAGTGTCCTGACGTTCTGGGAGGCAAAGTTTGCAATTTTGCTACAGTCGGTTACCGCTAGCTTTCGCAGCATCCTGTTTTCCAGAGAAGACTCTCCGTTGAGATGATTGGTGGATGTTCCCAAAAACAAAACTCGGGTTAATTTCTACATAACATGATCAATGCCTACTCACTGTTCGAAGCCACACATTGCAGTATTACTCAGAAGAATGTCAGACTCATCTATGACTGGTTGCGGCTACCACGAGCAAGTAAAGCATCAAAGTATCCGCTCAATAATGTCATAAAATCTACAATGAAATCAGAACGATAGCTAGCGAGTCTAACATCGCCCAACATCTTCCTTTTCGGCCTAGCAAAGGTGGACACTGCTTGAACCAAACTATCGCATAATAATCAAGAAAGATAATGCGCAATTAGCGCCGAGATGCAATTAATGACTCAAAAGGCCAAATCTCCAAAGCGAGCAAACCAGTGAATCCAGCCCTAGCGTCAGCCGACCTATGCTTCTAGGTGGATGGATACTACGAAAAATCTAACACGCGGAACATTTTGATCGAGCTCGATCGTAACAGTACCTGTAAGCATGAGAATGGACTCCTGAGGGAAATGGAACTTGTTCATGAGCAAGAACCGCATGCACTTGGCGTCGTTGAGGCACCCCTTGAGCTCGTGCCTCGAGTACTTGTACGATATCCCGCAGATCACCGCCCTCTTCCGCCCGTGCGGGCTCGGCGGGGCCCCGGCGGCGCGTGGCCGTAGGGCGAGGGCGCCGGCGCCGGCGCCGGCGGGGGCGGGTGCAGCGCGGCCGCGTGGGGCGCCGCGGCGGGAGGGGCCGCGCGGGGATCGGCGATGTTCGTGACGGCTTGGCAGATGGCGCAGCGGATGGATCTGGCCCCCGGCGGGAGCTGCAGCGCGGTGCGGCAGCCGGAGCAGTTCACCAGCATCATCGGCGGCGGCGGCGGATACATCCCTCTCTCTCCGCTGTATCTCGCCGGAGGATCGCGGTCGCGAGGGCCTTCGGTGGTCGGGCGAAGCGCGGAGGACGATCAGAAGGGGCAGAAGCGGTCGAGAGAATTCGGCGGCCGACGATGATGATGATTCGCGGAGAGACGATTCCGGCGAGGATCGGCGGCGGCGACGATTCGAAGGGCTACGGCGGGGGACTCGTCGAAGACGAAGAAGATGACGGAGGAGGAGGAGGAGGAGGAGGAGGCTCACTTCGATTTTGACGAGTATTGCGTCCGCATGACATTGACGTTGCATTGTGGTAACGTTGTTATCATCATTTGACCCCATTGATTGGAGGGATGCGCGCAGGCCACTGTTCCCCCCACACCCCAAAAAGGTGGACCCGACCCGAACCGACCCGACCGGGTCGAAAATCCGCGAAATGGGAAAATGACACGGACAGTTCCTGAACTTTGGTCCGATATACAATGTGGTCCACGAACGTTTAATTTGTTTAATATGATCCCTAAACTTTGACTTATTGTGTAATGTGGCCCTTGAACTTTTAATATGTTCGATGTCATCCCCGAATTTTTGGTGCATGTTCAATTTGATCCATAAACTATATGCAAATATTCTAATGTAATTCGGAGACTGCATTGAATATTTTCATATAGTTTAGGGATTGCACTGAACATGAACCGAAAGTCTAGAGACTATATTGAATAAATTAAAAGTTCATGGACCACATTGCACATTAAGCTAAAGTTGATGGACTACATTGAACAAATCTAATATTCAAAGATCACATTGCATATTGACCCAAAAAAGTTTAGGGACTATTTGTGTCATTATTCCTAAAAAAAAAACAAAAACCGTACCTCTTCGAATGCTTGACTTCCAAAGCACCCGCCCAATCAAATGTAATCGGGGTGGCGACGACTTATCGCCTCGCTATAATCACGACGACAAGCGCTCTTGAGACGCTAATTAAGCATATGCTTAATTCGAAACAGACACGCGTCGTAACACGCGAAACGACTAGTCGCTTTTAGTCGGGTTACTCGATAAGTGCTCCTGAGACACATTTTTTTACGAAAAAGATACTTAACGGAGGAGAAGAGGCCATTAAGATGGTCCGAGAACACGGGGCCAGCGATAATTTCACTAGATTGCTAGTCAGTTTCACAGGGAATTTGGATAGAGATTGGTAGGAGTGTTTCATGGCCCTTGTGGCCGACGAGATTTTCTAGATTCTCAAGTCGTGACGCGTTCTCTTTTGCTTAAGGAGGAGACACCAAGGGCAAGTTCCACGTCGTGTTCCAAAGTTGGGTGCTCGACATTGACAGATAGAGAGACTTCCCGAACCCTCCATCCTGCAATTTCACACACGATCCATCGTTTGCCGCTTCGAAATCTTAAGACAACGCTAGAAATTTGCGGAACGAAGAAGCGAAGTGGTAGGACGACATTGGTTTTTTTTTATTTTTTTAATACTAAATGTCATCTAGTAGTTCTAGATATGGTCGAAAAGAAGTTCGGGAGATGTCTTGTGGCGGGCCATCGAAAATGACAAGCCCCCAGTAGCCGGCGCCTAGGAATAGAAGCGGGTTGGCTTCGATGGATTCGATACTTATCACCTAATCGGTATCCGACCATCGTAGGCGTCCTACGGGTTTTGTAGAAGGGATCCTGAACCCATCTTAACAATCCAGGCAATATGTATCTAGGCTCTAGGGGCGAGATACTTTTCTTCCACGGGGAATGTCTACCCTGCCGGACGCCGCCGGATTGGGATGAAACTTCCTCCCCGAAAATCATCCGCAAGACAATACACCGGCCTAGGGGGCGAGGCAATAAGCAATGCCGGGGCAGGGCAGGGCTGGTATTGGCATTATCAAAACGAACGAGACCTCCATTGCGGTAGTCGCAGTTGATAGGCAACCATGACGATGGTCACTTTTGTACGCCGAGGGCTGGATATCGGTCTAAACTCCTCGACTTTCTTTCGTGGTGGTCGCGCCTCTCAAATGACAACCATCGTGATGGCTTTCCACGACAACAAATGAGACCATTGTCTTGGTCGTGTTTGTCAACAGATTACATTTTTATAAGTATATCGAAAATTCTCCACAAACGAAATAAAATCGAAGGACTTTCCGCGCGTTCAATAATAAACTTTCATGTGTCCACAAACGTCTACAACAAACAGCATTCAAACAAACGTTTGTTGTCGCGTGCTTGATGTAGAGGCTTATCATATACATTCATTATGAGACGACTTTTTCATCTTATAGAAAAATACTATTGCAAAACGCTTGACGGATTCGAGACAAACATGAAAAGAAATCTTAAAGAGTTATTGGGACAGGTTTAGGATAAGGTCAACCATCCCATTACCCGTCCCATTTTCCTATCTGCCACCAAGGCCCGGACGTCGATGGCTCGCATCAGAAGATTCTCAAGTGGAGAAAACGTCACCTGCATTTTCGTCGCAAGCTCTGTTTACTTGCATTTTTGCAAAAGAAGAACACAAAAGGAACAAACTGCTGAACTCTAATGTTAAGACCAGCAAGAAGCCCCCGCGGGGCTCCAACATCAACATCATCATGCCCAATGTTAGAATTTCATTTCTTACTTCACCAAAACAAATGAATAGATTTGTTACTTCACAGACAGACAAAATCCTAGCCAGCACACATGTATGTTGGACTGGTGACCGAATCAAGCAAGACATCGAAGAGCACCAACCAAGCGAATCACGAACAGATCATGAAGCCTACGACCGCTCTGATACGGAAGAACACACACCTGTGAGACTGGATAAGCCCGAGCCATAGTTCAATCGGCCATCAATATTAACCTATTCCAGTTGCTGTGCCCATCAAGGTTTGATAAGAGTGCTAGCTGATGGCCATGCCCATGAATCTGCAAAGATTCGGAGACTTCTACAATCATCGGTAGCCGAATTATTAAAACTCCACAGGATGGTGCCTTCGACTTCATATGTTAAGACTTGTGAATCTTGAAGCCAAAAACTCTCGGAACATAACTCTGTGTTGGCTTTTGAGGCTTTAGGTGCCCATACGTCATCAAAAATAGATGAGGAAATGTTGTTCCAAAATATGCTCCATCGATGTCTTGTTCAAGTTAAGAAATTTCTCAGATGAAAAAATATAGGAGATGACATTATCGGCAAATATGGTGCATAAGACAAAATTAAATAAACAAAAGACAGACTCGCACCAAACTTACAGAAATCCAAAAAGGACAAACATCCAATCTGCCATTTTGCCCCCTAACTATGAGGAAACTACAACTGACTATCTGCCCTATAATCCATAAAGCAGCCATTTATACCAGCCACATCAATTGCAGATATTACCTCTCAAAACTCATTAACACTAGCAAACTACTTGCAACATGTTCTAGCAGGAAATTTTTCCTTCTTTTTTTTTTTTGAATAGTAAAATCCTCCTGAAGTGATCCCACAGAACTCTACTATACATCAGGGACTTGCTAACAAGTATACCTTGAAGATGGCTACAAGATAAATCGACAGCATCTTCACCATCCAAGACACAGAAATCATGCCAAATGCATGAACATATGGTGAGCCTCCACCAAAACTTATAGTGAACCTCAAGCAAAACTTAGGGTAGCATCTAGCTCTTAGACAGCTAAAATATCAAAGGTCCAGTATACTAAGATCAATATGAAACAAATCCATCCAGTTTTGAGGTTCTGTATCTTTAGTGAGCAACTTTACTGAGAATGATGAAAAGTTTCAGGATAAGCATGTTGATAAAATGGTTGTAAACAAAACAGAATAGGTCAACACAAACGATGGCATAGAAAAAGAGACCAGTCTCATTTATATGCTTAACATGCCTCTCATGTCAAAGATCAACCATAGTCAGGAGAAATAGACATAGCCAGAGAGCAACTTTAAAGCACTCAATCAGCTTCACAAGAAAATGCCACGGTGGCTAGTCTGCAGTTGCACTGTCTAAGAACTACTGCCGTTGTTCAAGCTTGAAAATTATGTAATCGACCAAGTCTAGCATTATTACTGAGCTTTTTGGTTCTCTAGGCCCCTGCACCTCTATAAAATTTCTGACACTTTCCCCATAGTTCAAAGAAAGGACATCAAAGATTCACAGCTCACATAATCTAGTGAGAAATAATTCAATAAAAAATTCTCATGTGAAAATAAGGATACTGCCTTGGAACTTGGACCGTGGATAATAAATATCTTCACATTTGGGACAGTAGATCTTTACAGTGCTTGATCGAGGAATGTCTGATTGACCAACTGGAAGGCACGGTTGACCACAACAGTAAACTCGTGGACATCTGCTAAAATCACAATTCCTGTACTTCTCTAACTGCATCAGATGCAATGGCACCATTAAAGTACAATAAAATGCATGAAGAATTGAGATTTCTTTAATAGATGAAGAAACCACACTTGGGTCTTACCATTGCAGCCATTCCCTTGCTAGTCAAAATGTACCTAACATGAATTAGACCATAGAGCATCTCCGCTGCTGATTCAACTAATTCGTTTTGTTCTTCAGTGAACATATCACCTGAGCATACATTTATAAGAGAAGTTACAAACAATACCACGCATTTCTATAAGGTAATCAATAATTCAGCAGATTTTAGTCAGCCTCTTAATAACTGAAAAGGTTGGTTATAATAGAAGTCATTCATTCATTAATATTTCTTTAGAATTTCAACATTAAACTTAGATATTTACTTTTACCAACTAAGCATTGAAGTAAAAACCGAGCATACACTTGCACCAAAAGTCACAAACCATATCACCCATTTCTATCAGGTGACTGACAATTCAGCAGATGTCAGTCAGCCTTTCAAATACTGAAAATGTTGGTTACCTCACTTAAAACTATGATACAACTAGAAGCCACTCAAGTATTAATATTTAACTTGAACTTCAACATTAAACTTAGATATATCCTTTGAAGCTCTAAACCACATAAATATTGAAGTCGAAACTAACAAGATGCCATTCGACTAGTAGAACAACCTTCCATATGTTATAAAACAGACAAGCACCCAACTTAAGCATGGCTTTCTCCAGTGCCCTCTAAATTTAGGGGATGAACTAACATGTTCAATCTACCCCTTAGGGAGATCACCCAATTATGTTAGAGAGATCTAATTGGTAAGAGAGAAGCAACTTTTTCTCCGTAAAATTTTTACAATCTTTTCCTGATGCTGAAGTTCAAATTCAAGAGATAGTTATCCTGTTGGCTGTAACTGAGTTGGATGCAAAGGATTGGTCTATTCCTTCAGAGAATGATGTAATGGCATCTCAAGAGGTATTACAGATGTCAATTGATCCCCCTAAACTGAGAATATCCAAACCTTCTCCACCAATCAAATAACTTTGAATCTACAATTTCTGTATCTATAGTCCAGTCCACAGATAAACTGCCTTCGAGCATAAGTATGATCTCAATCTCAATTCATAAAGATGAATCCTTAAATTAACTAAAATTTTGACCTGAGGTGATAGAAAATGCAGTCCTTAGTTGTTTGATATAGTCTCTAATTGACAAGTCTTCTCCAAAAAATAGTCACTTATAAATGGGTAAAAAGCACGTTAAGATAAGTAAGATCTACTCGGTGCACTACATATTCACAAAGCCAGTGTAAAAGTGACATTCAAAAGCCTATTCAAACGCATGGAAAGAACTGAACTCTTGGCCATATTAAACAGAGTACTTTGTTTGCAGATACTCTTGCTTACTATACTAAAAAGATCTTTCTCCCGATCTACTGCTTATAAAAGTGGTCCTTTCCAGTAACTTCATTATTCTTGTAAAAGAATTTTAATACTTTGCAGCCACTAGCAAATTCAACATGGAAGAGATGTCAAATGATAGCAACTACTGCATTGATTGAATGTAGCATACACCCCCGGGATTTAAGCACTGAAAATGGAGGAAGGTTCAAAATAGATATGGAAATCAATATCAAGACGAAGGTCAGGATGAGCTTACTATGAGAGGATTCAACATCCAAGATTAGATCAAGCGCATAGTCATAGTATGGAACTTGACTACTCAACCCACAAAGGTTAAAGTCATCTTGGATGTATTCGTCATCGACTTCACAGAAAAATTCATTCCCTCGCAAGTTGCAGAACCATGAAATCCATGATGTGTCATCTCCATCTGAACCACTGACATCTGACTCTTCACTGTCTGTATCGTGTTCCTCTGTTCCAAAAGGACATGCTGGTTAGTAATAACCAAACAAAACAATAGGAGCTCCCTCCCCTCCCTAAGAAAGACGTACAATATGACCAAAACTCTTTCTTCAATCTGTTAGTCCATCACTATTGGTACTTTTTATGTTTCATACTTAATATGAACTTCAAAAAACTCAATAAAAAGCAGGATGTCAACATCAATCATTATTTGGCCAAAAAAAACAAAAAAAGAAAAAGTGAATCACCGTAATATTATTGCCATTGGACATATTCATCCATAATTAATGGGCTGCACTAAAAGCTGATGACCATGCAGAACAGCACAAAAGCATGAACCATAAGGGATATAATTCACTTCAAAGAAATACTTTTGGGGTCAGATAAATGACATTGAAGATAAGACAGTAAGATTCTGCATCGCTTATGCACCATAATGTCTCATAATAGGAAGCCAAAGAAGCAAAATGGATAAGAAGCACCTCCATTACTAGGAAGAAGCACAAGGTTTTCTCATGTCTTTGGAATCTCAAACAAGAGAAGCATCTTACATAGCTAACATATTTTAGCTTCACAGAAATTCGACAGCAGATTCACGTTTAAGGGAAGAAAAACCAAAAAGCTAAAATATGCAGGACAGGAATTGTTTACAGAGAGAACAAAAGGTTGAACAAAAGAGCATTCCAAATCCTTTAAACTAATTCGATAAAATAAAGAATATGCTATGCAATTATGAACCTTGTAACTACCACCATCGAAGTATGTTGATTAGTTCATAAAACTCAATAGTATAAAATTGAAAAGGGGCTAACCAGTACGAAAGTAAAAGAATGAGACCAAAAGGTTCTTTCCCACTTACCACTACACAAGTACAAGAAAAGAATAAGATCAAAAGCAAACTTTCCCACCAAACAAGTAAACATGCGAATTCTGTTTGATCTTTGGTCAAGGCCGTTCTCTCCACAAATCGACCAAAATATTTGTTGAACCGACGCCAACTTAGACACATGAATGAACTACTAATTCAGACTTCAAAGAAGAAGAGTTTCACAACAACTAAGTGTGCTCAACATTGCAAGCTAAGACATAACAAATTCAAATATAAAGCATCCTCAACGAGTTCATGCTTCAGTAAAAGGCAGCAAACCGACCTTTTCTTCCCATCGTCACCGATGAACTAGAACGGAACCTAATAGGGTTTATCAACCTCCACCCCACACACACAAAATCGCAATGCACCTCAAAATGTCAGCGAACAGCCAGACGGAAGCTGGAAATGGCATCAAACCCAACAGATCCAGGGCCGCAAGCACAAAAGTCCCCCCCCCCTCCCCCAACGAGAACAAACGCAGGCCCCACACGCCGCGCAAAATCCGCCATTCACGAACAACAAAAACCAACCGACACGCCAAGAACAGCTAAAAAAAAAAGACGAAGACGAAGGGTCACTGACCGTCGGAGCACTTGCTCTTGGACAGAGAAGCAGCCGGCGGTCGAGAGTCGCGGTGATCGAGGTGGGACTTGCCGGCGGAGGTGGAGGGGACGGCGATCCTCTCCTTGTCCTTGTTGGATCTCGAGGTGGAAGGCGAGGACTTCTCGAGCTGCTTGTCCAGGGCGTCGTTGATGATCCTCCTCCGATCGACCACCTCCGACTTCGACGATCCTCCCCCTCCCACTCCCACTCCTCCTCCTCCCCCTCCTCCTCCGCCGCCGCCGCCGCCGCCGCGATCCCTGTACATGTCCGGTTCCGCCGGGTGGCCGCCGCCGCCGCTCCGACGGCGACGACGATCGCGATCGCGACGGGGGTGTGGTGTGGTGTGGGTGGGGTTCTCAGCTACGGCACCGGTGCGCGCTCCCGCGCATCGGAGGCGATGGCGGCTACGGGCTCGGAGCTGGGGACGGGAAGGCCGATGGTGGTGGTGGTGGCGACGAAGAAAAGGCCAAGTATCAGAGGACGAAGAGAGAGAGAGAGAGAGAGAGAGGGACGGACGAAGCTAGGGTTTCTTAGAGAGAGAGAGAGAGAGAGAGTGCTGGATCCCTCTTATTCCGAAGCAGCTTAACCCGAATTTGATCGAAATTCCATTTTGGACATTTCCAAAGCGCACCATCGTGTCGTCCCAATTATATTATAAATATATTTTTAGCCAAACAAAAAACTATACTATAAAACTATATTATATAATACTTTTACACTAGAATTAACGGTGCTCCTGCTTCGCGAAGAACGAATGATTTGAAGAATATGTTTATATCGATTTAGAAAATTATCGCTTACACAACCATTGCTGCTGACGATGCTGCCTGACTGTGCTATCGCCACCGGCAACACCCGGCCATGACGCGCTACGCGTGCTTGGGAGAAAATGAGAGAAGTGCATGAAGAGATAAGAGCCGCACGACCCAAGCAAGGAAGACTTCGCCCCCGAGATTGGAACTGCCCTCGTCGGGCTCGTGCAACGTCGAGCAATAGGACAGCCACGTAACGACCAAGGCGAGGGCGTCCCCGTCCTCACTTGCTCGTGTCTCACTCTTGGAACACATGCAAATAGAGGGCGACTGTGTTGTACAAAAAATGACCGGACCATCGACATGGGCAAGCATGTGACCAACGAGCAAACGTAAATAATTATGCGACTACTGTGTGCGGATTACCATGCACGTAATACCTTGCCGTCGGCCATAGGGATTAATATTGATATTTACAATCAATATTGATACACATCGGTAACCCATATTGATGAAAATTGCCAATCAGTTGTTGATATATGATGCCGAATAGCTAATAACTATCAATGTGGGTACCGATGGGTGAAGGATAGCAAGCCATCATAACTCTTTGGAGGCATGAAGGACATAGGAACATAGTTAATAGGGGTGAGCAAGATGGACTGCCCAAACCAGAACCGGATCGACCGGTTTGGTCCGATTCTCAGGAATATTGGTCTGGTTCCCGGTTTCTAAAAGTGGAACCAGTTTTCGGGCGGTCGGGTTCCCAGTTCTAGGGTGGGAACCGGACCGACCCGACCGGATCGATAAATATATATTTTTCTAATTTTTTCATATATATATATTTATTTACTTTTTAAAAATTTTGAAAAAATAAAAAGCCTAGTCTAATTTCCCCAATTCCCTCTTGCCTTTATCAATAAGTGATTGGTCCCATTGGAATCGGACCGATGGTCCAGTTCGATTCACAGTCTCAAGACTAGCCGGTCCGATCCCCGGTCCTAGAAACTGGGAATCGGTCCTCCCGATCTAGTTCCCGAATCTTAGGTTGGACCGGACCGGACCGGGAACCACTCACCCTTAATAGCTACGAAGTCAAGATCACAAGGATATAGCAATTGAGGATCAAAGAGCAATCGGCATATATATTTTGCATATTTTGGAGGACAATTACTTAGAAGCATAGTTATAGAGCAATTATCATCCAGAGGCAAAATCATGGAATGACAAGATGACAAGGTAATTACCGATGAGGAGTTACCACTTAGGGCAAGCTCATGGAACGGTTATTATTTGGAGCAAGATCGCGGGACAAGTAGGGACAGCTGACGTACGCTTTTGAAAGAACAACTGTTTAGGAACAAGACCAAGGGATACGGGCACAAGACTTTTGGAAGTAAAAGAGCATGGAGAACACCGTTGGAAACCGTTCACGAAGAGTGCAACCGCTGAAAACGGCTAGAAAGTAGTTACCACACGATCATTATCAATACCACTAATAATCTACTGTGAAGCTCTCCTCCCGTATACATCAAACAAATTTACTATAGCTTTCAGATTCGTGTCGTCGATCAAATTACAGCATGCATTTTTATCCTAGGTGCTGTGTCGTCGATTAAATTCCGGCATAAATTGTTTACATTGAGTTACTTCATCAAGTCTGTACCTTCCAAACTTTATCGTCAATTAACCAGCACGGTTTGTGTTCATACAGTCCTATTCTAATTAAAGCTGTTGGTTCTTTCTATCTGTGATATTTCCTGTCCGAAGTTGGCGCAGATCCCTGGTTTTCTTTAATTAAAAATCGAAGAGCGACTTTCGGTGAATGATATTTCTTCATGGGAGAAATTCCAGCGCAACAGCAATGAAAAAATGTTGTTGGCCGCAGCGATGGAGCAATGGCCACTGTTGAAATCGCCATTGCATTGGTGACCTTGATATGAGGTTTTCAATGGCCATGGCCGACCTCACCATGACACCGTTTTCCTTGCGTGTGTGCACATAGAGCACGTTGACATGTGTGCCGGGCCCGAACTCTTCGCCCGTCCCAACGGTGTTGACGGAGATAGCAGCAGAGAGCTGCGATGGCAATGACGAGCGGTTGTGCTACGTGATGAAGGAGAGATGAGATGAGATGGTGAACGATAGGATCTAGGTTTTATGGCGGTAAGGGTGCTTTTGAAAAGATAATTTGCAAACTTGTGAGGAGCAATTTATGTATTAAAATTGTGGGTTTTCAATATCGAAGATGCAAATTGTCATAGAAGTGAAGGCTACGAATGATCTTTGAGATTTTCCCTTCAAACAAACCAAGCGCCCGCGCACGCTCCATGCACGTGCAATTACTTCTCTTGCTCTTTTGAATTAGTTGATAAAGATGAGTAGAAAATTATGATTGGTTATGATCTTTGGAATTAGTGGATAAATAGCATGCATTTCTCTTAACGCTTTAATTTTTTTGTTTTTTTGTTTTGGCAAGTTAGTTTAATTTATAATATTGGATTCTGATGAAATAATAAAAGAACAGTAAAATTAAGGACATTTTTTTGAAATCGTACTTTTTTCACTCCCTCTTTGGCTAAAACACTCATTAACATAATAATATGACTATATTGCCCTTTGTGGGTCCCACTTTTTAGCATCCCTATTCTATCAACGTTTTAAGAAAGTATTGTCACATTTTTTCTGGTCATGTCCCTTTTCTTTTCTTAATTTTCTATTTCTTTTCTTGTGAGTCTCACATTCACTTTCCTTATCTTTTTCCTTCTCTACGTTCTTTCTCATGTAACCGCTCATACCAATAGAAAGGTAGAGAAATGGAGACTTCCACGCTTGAGTAGGTGGAGGCAACTGAACTGGTCCTCATGACCCATGACAATACCTTCTCGAGCCGCCTGAGTGAAGGCTTTGTGCCACATGTCTTACGGCAGTAAGGAGATGGTATTTGTGGAGAGTGGCACATACTAGCGGGGCACGAGGAGGCTGTGCACTCTACATTTGATGAGCTAGTTAAAGGTGGAGTAGTTCATGCATATGAGGAAGATGAGTTGGGAAGGGTGATGGGGAGGCTGAGGGCGGTGACCTTGAGGCGTACTCTCCACAATCTAAAGCACTTCATCGAAAAACCTTTCTCTATACAAGGAATCAATGAAATTCGTAAAAGCAGCATTGCTCACAAAAATCCTCTTGGCATTTCATTAGCTCCCAAAACTTAACAATCAATTTCCTCGCCTTCTCCCCCATCTAGCTGTCGGAAGTATCCATCGACCGATTTGCTAAATTTCCTACAAAGAGTGTGAATTTCATTGATGTTGAGCGAGTCAAATCGGTAATCGCGAAGGCGAAGGCGGTAAAGGAGGAGGGCTTTGTTGACGACCTAGTGGCGGGTTGATGTGGCCCTACCTAGGATATGCGAGCACAAAGACGTAAATATTCTCCATGTCTCTACCTCTTGAGAGAGAACAAAGTTCGACCAAAAAGAGAGAATAGAGAAGGAAGAAGATTAAGGAAAGTGGTTGCGGGACCGATATAAAAAAAATAGGAAATAAAAAAAAGGACAAAGAGATGCTAAAAAGTGTAACCTACAAAGGGCAATATTGTCATAATACTGTGTTAAGGAGTGTTTTAACCATAAAGGGAGTGAAAATAGCGTAGCCCTTTTGTATTGAGCCATAACTTATATATGGAGCTCCTTTAAGGCTCCGTTCGTTTGGCGGAAAATATTTTCATTTTGGAAAATATTTTCTCGAAAGTCATTTTCCTGAAAAATGTTTTCTTGGAACACAATTTTCTGGTGTTCAGCTAAAATTTGAAAAAGTTTCGGAAAATATTTTCTGGTGTTCGGCGACCGCCGATCCGGCGGCGTCCGGCGACCAACGCGGCGGCGACAGGCATAATCGGCGGCGGTCGGCGGTGGCGGGCGGCGATCGGCGGTGACAACAACCATTGCCCGTGGCGGCCGATGGCGAGACGGTGGCCGGCGGCCGCGGTGGTGATCGGCCGGCGGCGGCCGGGCCAGGTGATGGTAATAATGGCCAATGTGTGTGCCGGTGGCCAACGGGCCGCAGAAGAGCCCGGTGGCCAACCGGGACTATGGCCGTAGATCGCGACAACCAGCGGGCCAACCAGCGTGTGCCTGGCGGCCAGAGTGATGAAGCTACGAACAAAGAGGTATGACGTGCGGTGCCCGGCCAGTGCCGAGCCCGCTATGCGGAAGCGCCAGCGCGCCGAGATCGCGAATGTAGTGGCGAGCGGCAAATAACCGGAACGATGTGAGCAAGCTTAATGGTCGAAACTAGGCGTGACCCGGACGGCCCAGCGACCGGCCGCTAATGGGCAGCGGCGAAAGTGACAGCAAGTGATCAGCGGCGGCGGCAACCGATAGATGGCGGGGCATCGTCATGCATTGATAGACGCCCGCCGTCGATCAGCGGCCCGAGGGGCCGGCGGAGCGAACGGCGGCCCGACCAACGGTGGCCGTCACAAGCCGCCGTACCCGGCGATCGGCATGGCAGCGCGGCGACAGGCGGCGGCGGGCGCGGTTGGTTACGGCAGACGGCCAGCCCGGCCGGCGGCGTAGACGATCGTCAGCGGTGATCGGCGGCCAGACGGCCATGTAGCGGTGACCCAGCGGCCGATGGCGGTGGCCAAACGGCCGATGGCGGCGATCAGCTGACGGCAACCGGCGGCCGTCGATCGGCGGCGGCAACCGTCGAGCAGCCGGTGGCGCGACCATGAGGCGGCGGCGGCAAGCCGGCCGGCGGCGGTGGCCGCGATCAACTTCCTCTCCCACGGAAAACATTTTCCC